ATTACCTTGTTCTTGGAGGCCCATTTCACACACAGAATCACCAGCCCAAATGGTAAAAAAACTTTTTCTTGAAAGAGGAGAAAGATTTGATGAAGTACATACTTATTTCTATCTGGGTTTAGACTGGGCCTCTTTCCCAGAGCTGGGACTTGAGTGAGCCAAGGGAGAGATCTAAAGCACAAAATTTAAGGAGGAGCCACCCAAGGGAGAGTGCCTCCTTAAATTTCACACCTTCCCCCTCCCTTGCCCCACTCTAGTCCGGCCGTACTCTTCCCCTTATATGCCCTCAAATGGGGCTTCCTTTCAGGGTTTGGATTTGCAGAGTCAGGTCACAGTGATTATGAGGGCAGGATTGGGGGAAGTCCTACAGAGCTTTTTCTCTACCTCAAAAAAGGGAGCAGTCACCTCTGTTGTTTAACAGTTTTTGCCCAGCCATGGTCAGGCCCACGTCTCCCAACTTTGGTGCATTGGCACTAAGTACAAAGAGCTCTTCCAAATTACTGGGTGATGACTTCTAGGGCAACTGGTTCTAAGTTACCTTTTCAAGAAACCTGTTGGGTCCTTGGACAAGGGTAATTTGCATTCCATTGATTGATGTTTTACATTGGTGAAATAAATCCTAACCTATCTCCACAGGACACTATAATAATTTGTATAATAACATATAGTTCTTTGCTGTCAGATGTTGCTGGACCAAATGAGTCAAGACGAGCTCCTTCAGGGCAAATGGTGTCTTCTTATCGTTCTGTGTCCAGGCACCTAACATCACAGATAGTGGGTGCTCAATAAATGTTTGTTCTTTGAACATATGAATGAAGAAGCCCCAGGCTTATCAGAAATGAATGCCCAGCCTCTCAGGGCCTAGGCCCTTTAAGCACCAGAAAGAGCAGAGCCAGGAATCTGGCCCCATGATTTAAACACCAACCATCGCTACTTCCTCTCTGCGGAAACCAATCGTTCTCCTGGCTTTTGCTGACGTGCACTTGTTCGTGCCCTGTTTTGTGAGAAGCTGGGTTTCTGGCTTTCACTAGCTTCATCCTTCACCTCCTAGATGCACGTCCACTGGCAGAGCCACGGACGGACTCAACCTCTGAAACTCTGACCCTGTGCTTACAGTGATCTTTCTTGTTCCTGCTCCTGACTGGCAACTATAAACACTAAATGCACGTCCACTGGCAGAGCCACGGACGGACTCAACCTCTGAAACTCTGACCCTGTGCTTACGGTGATCTTTCTTGTTCCTGCTCCTGACTGGCAACTATAAACACTAAATTCTGCCATGGAGTCGTTCAAATGCATCACCTGCCCTGGTGACTCTCTGGTGAAGAGCTCTTTTGACAGATTCAGAGGCCCTGCTGCCATCCTCAGCTGCCATCTTGAGACTCTGCCATCAGCCGCGTGGGGGCTCTGTCCAGCAGGCACTGCCCGGCGCCCGCTGCCACCTCCTGGACACTGCTGACCCGCTTCTGCTCCCTAGACCTTTGGGCCTGCTTTCCTCAGCCAGCTCTAATGAGCTCCTGATAGCCTCCACACGCTGCCAGACGTTATAGTTAGTGCAAATGGAAAGAGTATTGTTTTATGCAGTGATGTGGACCTTGTTGAAAAAGGCACAGATAAGCAATTAAAATAATGAAGCAATGGCCAGAAAATAGAGTAAATGCCTATCTCCTATTGGCATGCAGAGAAGCTAGAGCCAGTTGGATGAAACCGACCCAAGATCACTCATGAGTGTATGCATTCGGCATGTGAAAATCTTTTAAAGTTTGAAATCGGTGTCATCAGGCATAGTGAAATATCTATAGCCTCCCTTGGGCACCAATGCTAGAGCTATCTTGGAAAACATACCAAGATATCATCTATTTTCTTCTTCATTGTCAGTAAGTAAATGGCAACAGTTCTTTCAAAGAAAACTAAAAAAATCTAAATAAGGGGCCATTTTATTTAGCTTGATACCAAAGTTATTTTAGTTTGTATTAGACATGGTTGAGATAAAAATCAAAAAATTCATAAAAGAACATTTTAAAAACTGCTCTGATGATTTTCACATATCTAAGTTCCCCCAAAGGTCAGCATGGAAGCAGAGGAAAAGAGCGAACAGCTGAGCTGACATAACACACCAGGTAAGTGGTAGGGGTATACACCGGCCAGCCTTTCTGATAGGCGATGTGACTGCAAAAATTAAGACCTTTAAAACTGTCCAAATCATTTGAATCAATAATTTCACTTCTGAAAATCTATTCTGAAAAAAAGCCCCAAAACGTTGAAAAGCAAAAGATTCCTGAATTAAAAACTTCGTTGTAGTTTTTTATTGAATAGTGATCAATTGAGAACAAACTAAATGCCCAACAATAAGAGAATGGTTAGATAAATTATGACACAGGCACACAATTGAATAATAGGTAGTGATAATGAGCATGTTTTTAAGTCTATTTAATGACATGGAGTAATATTCAAGTTATAATGTTCAGTGAAAAAAGAATAAAAATTGTTATATGCACTACAATCTAATTATATTAAAAAATAGTGTGCACAGAAAACAAGACAAGATGGAAATGCACCAAAACATTAACACTGTTTATCTCTGGATGATGAGATTGTGGGTGATTCTTGTGTTCATGCTTATATGTGATAGAATGATAGGTGAGATATTAATTGCCCTTTATTACTTGCCTTGTTTTTCTAGCATCAACTAAACACCTAATCAGCTAAATACCTTGCATCGGCTAAAAACCTAATGCTTTAGAAATTGTCACTAATGAAAGGTCCAAGAACAAAGGTACCAAAAGAAATGTCCCACATACAAGGCAGAAATGATCAGAGAGCATTTATGATCAGACAGAGCTTTTCTTCCTCCCTGCCCCCTCAGGTTGGGATGGCAATAGAACTACCCTGAGTATGAGAATCTCAGAGCAGAGGAGACCCAAGCTCACTTCCCCGGTTGGGGATTGGAGGGGGTAGCACGGGGAGACATGACATCACAGGGAGAAGCCCCCTGAGCAGCAGGGTGGCACCAGAGCAGTGGAGGGGCTCTGACTGAGGGGGTGTCCAGGCAGATGAGTTCGCAGGCAGCTTTGTGAAGCCCCTCACTTTGTATGGGCACAGCAGCCAAGCTTTCCCATGCTTAAAGAAGGGGTGGCACTTAGCTGAGAGAAGGCCTGCGGTCTAGAAAGGATCTCACAGTCGGAGTGAGGGGACCCCTGCTCCAGGAATGCAGGGAGGACTGTCTTGCTGTGGATTAGATGGGGACAAGCAGGACACTAGCTCACAGGTGGACCTGTTGGGAAGATGTGTCTGAGGACAAGATGAGGCAGCTTACCTGGCAGAAAGTGCCAGGTCAGGCCTTTGCAGCAAAAGGCAGAGGTGGATACCCTAAATGGGAAATCCCAAATGGGACTGGGTTTTAACCCAAGTGTCTGGGAAATCAGGTTACCTGGGAGTGACTGCAATAAATTTTCAGGAAAGAAGGCTCACAGCCAGAAATTCAATTGAGTTGTGAAAAATAAAGTTACATTTTATTCACCTAAACTTATGACTTATAAAATCTGTACTCACTGAATGTTTTACATAGTTTTCAAATATTCAGTAATGACTATATTAGTATTTTTAAAGATTATCTAAAAGAAAAGCATAGCCTCCACAAAAACGTTATGAATCAGGGCCCTGAATAAAATGGGGAATAAGGCTGATGGAAACTCGCACCTAGTTTTGAAGACCATCTTGCTAGACGACTAGGGCCCCCTCTCAGAGAAAACCTGGAGTCCTGACTATACCTTCTGAGCCTCTGTCATTAAGATTCTGTACAAGTGTATGAGCAGCTGTGAGTAAATGTGAAAACAGTCTTACAGCTCCTTCTCTTCTCTACCACCACCACCTGGGCTCCCCCACTCCAACCCCTGCCCCAGCAAATCAGTACTATTAAACTGCCTTTTTCTTCTTTTTTTAAACCAACTGTTTTACTCTGAAGAAATATCAAACTACAGAATAAATCCACCCACACAAAGCGATGACCTCTAAATATCTGAAGAACATGTTGGTCTCCATTTTAGGGCTTCCTTGCTCCAGTCTAAACCAAACCAGGTTCTTGAATGACATTTTCCAAGCTTCTCACTATCATGCCCACCCTCCTCGGAGGTCACACCTGGACTTGTCAAAGGCCACTTAAAAAAGCCGTGCCTGGAGTCAACATCATGGGCCTATGTTCTGGCCAGAAAGACTCACTTCATTCTGCTAAGGCTGCGAAGAGTGTTAAGAGAGGCTTTGTGTTCTGAGCTGCCCATGCAGCATCTCAGCCTGCAGTGTTGGACTGAAACCCAGAACTCTGTCAAATGAGTGGCTGTCAGAGAAGGACTCCCCTCTGCTGCACTTAGGTACTGGCTGGGGGCACAGGCTACTGGTGCCAATCACACTCAGCCACCTAGGAGATCCAGGTCAGTGCCCATCTGTGCTGCCACCTGGAGGGCCCTGGCAATGAGGTCTGGAGAAAGGATGGGGAGTAGGAAACTCCACACTGCTCTGCCAGCCATACCCCTTTCTTGCCCTGTCACAGAAACACCCTCCTTTCACCTCCATTTCCCACTTTCGGCAGAAATATCTCCCTTCCTTCCTTTTTTTCTCCAAGGATTTTACCCATGATCTTGGCATCTTCCATAACTCACCTGTACCTTTGCTATATCTGTGGGCCTGTTCTCCCTCTAGGACCCCTCTTGGAGGAGACAATCCCCCCTAAATATTAGAGGATTTGATCAAATTGCTGATTAGCCCTCTATCCCATCACAGATCCCGTGGCATGCTCAGATCACAGTGGATAACTCTCCCTCTGCTGCCAAACCCCCTGCATTTTGGGCTGGCTGTGTCCACCTTGTCCCCTCAGCTGCCTTCTCTCTATGCTGCTGTTACTATGTTCCAAGCAGACTTTGGAACATGTCCCCCACAGCAGCATTGACTTTGGCAGATTGCTTGGGGACCAGTGATGTCCTCACCTGTTTGCTTTTCCAGGGCTAATGTTTGTAGGGTTTTTTTGGAACAAGAACAGAAATCATTTCACATCCTTATGCAATTCTTCCAGCAGGCTCCAGCAGATAAATAAAGCCCTTTGCCCCTCCATCGGTCTACCTTTCCCAGCAGAGCACCTAAGTTGATCCTGAAGCCTCCAGTCACCTGATCACCCGCCAGGGCCTCTCTGGGGTAGCCATGAAGTCCCTCATCCTGCTCCTTTGCCTTGTTCAGCTCTGGGGCTGCCACTCGGCCCCACATGGCCCAGGGCTGAGTTATAAGGAAGTGAGCTGCGACGACCCAGAAACAGAGCGAGCAGCCCTGGCAGCTGTGAACTACATCAATTATCACCTTCATCGGGGATACAAGCACACCTTGAACCAGATTGACAAAGTGAAGGTGTGGTCTCAGGTAAGTGAATCTGTTGTAGGTGAGCTGAAAGAACCTGTGTGTGGAGTGCAACCTGGTGCCTCAAAAGATCAGTAGCTCCCAGCACAAAGGCAACTGCAGAGGGGTAAACACTCTGACTTCTTCCCAGGAGTGAAGGAAGGGCCAGGCAAGAGAGGAGACATTCTGTAGTGTAGTTATGGATCTCAAAGAGGTGCTGAGTAGGTTATGAGGCAGTGTGTAAGAGAAGAAAAAGCTTTGAATGAGATTTGCAGGTCATAGGTAGAAAGTGTCGCTTTGTGGAAAAGCTAGGGCCCAAGAGACTAGCTTCTAGTTGCCAAGTTATCACTGACTGAAAGTCACTTGTCTTTCTTTGCTTCCATTTCTCTGTTGAAGACTGAGAGTAAATAAAACTAGCATTTGACCAGTGCCTATTACATGCCAGGCCCTTTTACACAGATCATCTCATTAACCCACCCTACCATATGTGGTAAGTATATTGTCCCTGTCTTACATAAAAGGAAACCAAGGCTCTGGTGTGTTAAGTCATTTTTTGCCCAACATCATATAATTAGCAAGCAATCAGGCTGGGATTTGATTCCAGACCTGTGTTCCTTCCTCTACACAAGCTGCCTCCCAAAGAGAGTTACTCACATCCCAGAGAAGTACTGGCATGAACAGGATTCGCTTCCTCCCACGCTAGACCAGAAACAGTGCAGCCGGAAGCCAGTGACAGTAAAGATAAAACTAAAAAATATTCCTTGGGGATTAGCCAAGAGATTTGGAGAGATGGGAAAAAGACATCTGTCTACTGCCTGTTTTGAAATTAGAGTTAATGTCTGATGAGGGATAATTCAGTAAACATTGATTACAAGCCTTCTTGGGCAAGAGCCAGTTTCAGGTGCTATAGAAGATATTAGGTTGATATTAGGTTGAACCATGTAAAATTGCCATTTTTGTATATCAAAAACAGCCAAATATTGGCAATTTTAATCTTTCAACCTAATGTAAAGGAGAGAAAGACATAGTTTGTGCCCACAAAAGATTTACAATCTAGGAAGGAAAATAAACATAAGAATGTCCGGACTGACTGATGACTGACAATCTGACCTCACAAAGGGACAAAATATTTGAAATTGGCATTGCCCCGGATGCATTTTAAGAGTGCTACAGCCATGTTAAAGTATAATGGTGGTTCAGAGGAAACGATATCTGTTCAGGGGAAATAAACGTAATATGCATATTTGACAGAAAGGGTACTGAGTGGGCACTGTGATTTTCACTAAAGGCAGAGTTTGTGAAGGCCTTTCCTCGAGAAACCCAGGTGTAGTCGGCTCCTAGTCACTGCAGGTCTGAGTGGCTTCAGGAAGAGCACATCTTCCCGTGCCTCATAAAATGCAGCTTCCTCCAGGAAGGGGATTCTGAGGCCTCAGCTACTAGCGAGCCAGGCAGAACCAGAATGAGAGGCAAGAAGGGATGGGCTGAGAGAATCAAGGGCATACTTGTATCTTCTGGGTTTTCTAGGCTTTGAAAAGAAAAGATACTGAAAAAAAAAAAAAAGGATACTGAAACAGGTGAACTGACAAATACAACTCCAAGAAATTATACGAGCTTCCCTGTAACTTCTTGCTTCACGTCCGCGCTCAAGAGTTTCCTCAGTGTCAGAAGGAGACGTGCTCTTCCCCATAATCACCGGCAGGGGCCAAGAGAGAGCAGCATCTTTGCTTCCAGACATCTACAAGCCAAACCACAAAGAAAAAGCCAAAGCCAACAGCATCAAAAAGCTTTAGGAAGGAAACGAAGAGGAGGGAAGGAAGGAAAATAAAGGATGAGAGGGAAGGAAGGAAGAAGAATAGGAAGGGATAGAGAAGGTAAAGAAAAAACAGTAAGATATTATCCACCACTTTATTTTTCAGCTTGACTGAGAAAAATCCAAAGCTGACTTTTTCAAAGCACTGCTTGAAGGGTGGAATTTTAAAAAACAAAAAATATTTCAGCACTCATTTATAGTTTCCAA